AGGGTTTTTCCCGGCCCGGGGGGGGGGGGGGGGGGGTGTATTCTTAGTCGTGCAGGCGGTAGTCGTTAGATTATTGCCCTCGCATCCCTACAAAGCCGGGAGGGAGCAGAGCACGCCGGGTTCTCACCGGACCGGGGGGGGGGGGGGACGTTGCACCGATGAATCCGTCCCGGTTCAGTCTACGGCGTGTCGTGATTGGGTGTATTTGGAAAAGAACTTGCACTTGTTTCTTGTCCCCGGCAACCGTGTAGCCTAAGTGTGCGTCCCGGTGGTCTCGCATGGAGAAACAGTAGTGCCAGGGTAGGCCAGGTGGTCTTTCCCTCAACATGAAGGCAAAAGGGCGGACATGAACCAGCATAAGTCAATTGTGTGTGTTGTTTGTGTTCGTGTTCCTAACCGTTCGATCGTGATCTGACCACCTCCTGTTTCGCTCGTCATTGCTGAGTTTTGCTGCTGCTGTTCCCTCCGCCGCCGCCGCCGCCGCCGCCACCACCTCTGCGTCCTGCGGTTTGATGTGGTGACTTCATGACCATGGCCATGAAAATAATGAACGAAACGTCTCCTGTGCTGCGCGCCTAACAACCCTGCGGCAGGATCGATCCCCAAGTCGATCAGCCAGCTGTCGCAGCTCTGCATCCTCAGCCTTCGAGGGAACAACTTGAAAGGTGCGCACATGGATGTGAAGGTTTTTTCCAATGTTGTTCTGGAAAGTCTCTCTTGTCGATTGCATGCTTGCGGGCACTCGTGCACTCAAATTGGGTGAAGTTTGCGTGATTTTTTCGTCTTTTCTCGTGAGTCTCGTTTTGTTTTGTCCATACACTCACGTGTTCATCGTTATTTACACCAAATTCACGTGCGCGTTTTTGTGTAGCTGCCCAAGCTACATGGTTGCCTGGTAGGTTTTGTTTTATCGGTTTCAGATTGTGTGCATGGTTTTGCGCCATCTCGTTGCAGCGGCTTTGTTTAGTCCGCACGACACCAAACCACAACGCTTTCTTATCTCAAGAGACGATGGCACGATACGCAACACATGGCCACCAACTGCTGTATTGTATCTCTGTGGTGTAGTTGCTTCTGCTACATATCCCCCAGAAAACAATGGCCACAGGCCTCCCACCTTTTCTATTCCCACCAAGCTCTCTTACGATCACTCTGCACACCGACTGTCACCGCAACGTACCACTCGACCGAGGTGTACTTCAAGTGCGGAAAACTTGCCCTCCCCCAAGCATACCACCACGTTGTCGTCGTGTTGGTTGGCGTTGGTCGTATCATCGTATCGCAGGAGACATCATCCCAGAGCTGGGCTGTCTGACAGCGCTGCAGACCCTAAGCCTGCGGGACAACCACTTCAGCGGCGTGATTCCGCCCGAGTTGGGACAGCTCACGGCCCTGAG